CCACCTCTGCATGACAGGCCTGCATGCAGTAGGATGCTGTCTGGTAGCTACTAAACTAGAACTGTGGGCTGGGCCCCTCTGCTCCCGACCTCAGACCTTCAGAGGCAAGGGTTAGGGTTAGCGTTAGGGCTAGGAGATGGAAATCCTTGAGCTGAGGGCCCCCAGAGGAGGCCTGGGCTCTGAGATCACAGGCTCAGGTCCATCCATTCTCCCCTTGTAAAACCAGGCACCATTCCTCCTTTGCAGGTTGTTTTGTGAGCACGAAATAGAAGCAGCTGTAGTGACCACAGCTTGGGCTGGGTTAAATCTCCGGGATAATGATATTCAGTGTGAATCCACGAACCTCAGCAAACCACTCGCGTGCAAGTGTTGCATGATACTCGTGACAGGGAGAGAGCGGGGAATGGGGTCTCAAGGACAGTACAGGAGGGAGGAGAAACATCCCTGGGCAGGAGGGTACTGGGAGAACCCCCAAGGAGGAGAGCAGTTGCAGCCAGCAGGCTAAGGGGTCAGGGGGTGGGAAGAGCTATGGGAATCCAGTGGCAGAAACCGGGGAGTGCTTGGGGTGGAAAGGTGAAGGAAGAGGAGCCTGGGAGGGAGGGAGGGGCCAGCACAGGTCACACAGCTCTAAGACTCTGGGTTGTCCAGGGGTAGGGAGGTGACCAAGGTGGGCACTGCGGGCAGAAGGCATGTGGCTGGGAGCAAGTAGTCTGAGCAGTGGGGTGGACCGGGAAACTTGGGCGGAGTTGGCCCAAGGCATGAAATGAACACTGGTTTCGCCAGGTGCTGCCCTGCCTGGATCATGCAGGTTAGGCAGTGCCCCATCCCTGAAGTGTACAGGAGAGGGAGAGGCTGCGTGACCAAGCCTCTGCACATTCGGCAGGAAGCTGGCTTCCAGCACTCAGCTGGAACACCACAGATTCATGCACAGAATAAAGAAAATCCATCTGCCCACAGGCCCTGTGTGGATCGTGGGAAGCCACCCCAGGTGCCCAGCCTTGGAGGCTGAGTCAAGACGGCCTGAGAGCCTTGTTAGCAGGGACTCAACACCAGGCAGGTCCCAGAGACGCCTTCACAATGGCCTCGGGATCTGGCAGTGTCCTGCAGGTCTGGATTAAAGCAGTAAGCGGACAGTTGCTAATGACTGTGAAGTCAGACTTGGATTTGAATCTGCACTGCACAAATGGCCCACCTAGAGTCTCATCTTGCCTGCATCAATCCCTTCCTGCCTCAGCTTCCTGGGAATGACCAGCCTTCCTTTCCAGTGAAAAGACACTGGAACAAAAGAAGAAAGTAAGGATGCTGTGCCCAAGATGCACTGACTTCATGCTTACTAACAGGACACTGGTCACGACCGTGAAGGAGGCCCAGTCGCTGATGTAACCCACTCCATCCTGCGACATGCTAGTCATTCTCTCCTGCGGGCACCTTGGCTTCCAGCAGCGACAGATATTTATGACGAGTCAAAGCCCCCGAGTGCCCAGGCAGCAGCAACTCCCTTGTCCTTGACCAAGCTCCCCGTGACCGACCGGAGACAAAGAGCAGCCAGACCTCAGCTGACCGAGCTGGACCGCTGTGAGGGTCCACCTTTGCCTCCGGTCCTTCCCTATGCAGCCCCATACTGCCGTCAGGAACGCAGAGACAGACTGCCAGGCTGCTGCTTTGTTCCCTAGTGTGGCCCCACTAAGTTCCTTTTCTGCTTTACTCTTTTGCTTTGGGTCTTTTAGGGGAGTGCTGTCCTGGTCTGCTAGTGACAGCCATGACAGACACTACCTTTAGACACAGGACAGACCACCGGGCCCTTAACCTGTTACTCCTCAGAAGAATGATTTGTGTCCTATTCTGAGGCAGTCAGCAACTGATTTTTGCTAAAAGCTGTCTTCACTTGGGCCCACGGATAGATAGGTCACCGTAGGGAACATCATTTTGTACTTTATCACCTTGAAGTGTTGGATAGGAGTTACATTAAATGTTCAGAGAAAGTTTACTAATCCTAAATTTGCAGCCTACCTCATCCCCAAGACCGAGGACACCCAAGCAAAGAGCAGCTGGTCATCCTCGGGCTGACAGGGCCGCGTGTGTGGCAGTGTGGATCTGGAATGCCCCCCAGAGCCTCCTGCACTCAGAGGCAGTGCTTGTGGGAGTGACTGAATTACAGCAGAGGCACAGCACAAGGTCCAAAGTTCAATCCCCGGTACCCCCCGCAAAAACCTTCAGGAGTCACGAGCCTCACAGTCATGCGGGAAATACAAACCCATGTGGCTGAGTATGTAGTTATCTAAGCCAAGAGGAGATAAGCAAATTTCAGGGTCATGTACTGAAATGGACCGGACTGAGGTAGATTAGAAGCCCAGCCCTAGCTGTGATTATTCTCCTCTGTTGCTGACTCCCGAGTTGGTCAGGACATAATCCATTTCCAGTTTATGTAACAGTTTGTTAGTGGGAGCTGAAGCCTTTAGATGCCTTTCCTGGAGTAAAGCCACATCGCCGTGGGCCGTGTGCTAGTTAGAGCTAACCAGATTCGATTCAGAGACATGGGGGAGAGAGAGAGCAGGGAATCCCACTCCTCACTCCCAAAATAATGGTGTCAAACGCTGCCTACAGTTCCCGCCTCTCCGTACTGTTAACCATAGCAATCAAACTTTGACGAGAGGTTTGGAGGGGATATTGATGCCCGCCATATCCTCTAAAGGACACACATTTTCAGTCTTGATGAAGCTGAACTTACCGTTACTTTTTGGTTTTCATCCTGGCTCATCCCTTTGACCGACTTTTGTCTGGTGGTAGTAGTTCTAGATGGTAAGACCTTCCTCATTCTGGAGGGGTTTTGCCCACACCCTGCAGGGAGGCATGCTGCCCAGAGCAGCCAAGACTGCCAAGCAGACAGTCTGTCAGCACAAGGGCTCCAGAACACCCAGACTGGAGGGCCTCACCCGTCCACCCGCCTTTTGTACCCTTTGTGTGGTCCTTTACATCAGTCTGGTGTGCCTCCCGGAGTTCTGTGGCTGCTAAGGCAAACTAACTATACCTGACCAGGGGACTGTGTGAGCCCCAACTTCCACCAGTTGGTCAAAAGCACAGGGAAAAACAAGCCAGGGGTCTTAGTTGGCATCAGTCAAAAGTGGGGGTGGCAGTCCTGGGGACTAAGCTGTCAGCCTGTGGGATCTGACCCTGCCTCCAGGCAGTGAGAGAACCAGAGTGGATCAGAGCTCACACAGCTGGTGTTTACCGTGGAACTGCTGGCTTGGGGTGTGGGAAATCCCCACTCATCTGACATCAGGAGGGATGTCCGTAAGTGTACAGGAGAAACTGAGTCTACCTGGTTTCTCTTTCTATATCCTCAGGTGTCATACCTAAAAAATACAATCCTAACAAGATTTTTTTTCTAAGAGTTTGTTGTAGCTTTTACTAGGTCTTTAATCCACTTGAGGCACTTTCTGCAGATGATTCAAGGGTCTGACTTCATTCTTTTGCATGTGGGTATAAACATCCCAATGCAATTTGAAGACTGCTCTTCTCTGCCAAACCGTCTTGGCATCTGTCTAAAATCAACTGCACATAAACGTATGCAACGTTTTCCTGAACTCTCAATGATACCCCAACTAGTCCCATATTCATCCTCCACCAGTACCACAGCCTGATTTTTGTCAATTTTAAAACTGGGAGTTCTCACTCTTGACTTTGTTCTGATTGTTTTTGCTATTCCTGGTTCCTTGCATTTCCATATAAATTTTACAATAAGCTTTCATTTCCTCAAAGAAGGCAGCTGGCATTTTGATAACGACTGTACTGAATTTGTAGATAAATCTGATGAGTACTGTTAATGAATGTCAAGTCCTGCAACCCATAAATGAGATCTTTAAGTCATTAATATCTTTAGTATAGAAGCTTTATACACCAAAGAAACATCTCTAAGTATTTTATTTCTGATGTTATTAAAAACTGAACTTTTTTTTGTTGCTTACTGTGAACGCACTGAAAACAGATTTTTATATATTGATCTTATATCCTACAATCCTGCTGAATTAATTTATTAGCTCTAATAGTCTTTTTGTAGATTCCTCAGGCTTTTCTATATCCAAGTTGATGTCATTTCACCTCTTCTTTTCCTACCTGGATACCTCCTGTTCCTTCGTTTGCCTCACCACCCCGGCTCAAACCTCTAGTGTAATGCTGCATACAAGTGGTGGACATCTCCATCCTGCTCCTGACAAAGGAGAAACTCAATAAATTGAACATTTCTGTAGTTTGAGGGAAAGGGATCAGAGGGCAAGGAGACTAAGAATATGCATAAGAAAGGGAAACCTGACAAGCGGGCAGAAACAAGGCCACCTCTCTGGGAGATGGAAGGACACAAAGAGAGGACAGGCATAAGCGGGGCCCAACAGTGGGCAGCTGCTCTCCACATCTAAGAACCCACCTCTCCTGGCAACTGGAGAGATCGTCTGCAAGGACCAGAGAGAAGCCCAGCTGATGGCCCGACGCCCAGTGAGGCTCCAGACCTCTCTGCTTCCTGGCCCTTGGCTCTGTGAAGCATCACCAAGGGCTTGCTCTGCTCCTGAGTGCTCTCTGCAACTTGGCGTTTATGTCCTGGCACTGTGTGGGTGAGTCGGGAGGGTGAAATATACTGAAACACACACTGACTGAAGAAGGCATATTACTTTTTTTTTGGTACCGGGGACCTTGAGCTTGCGAGGCAGGTGGCGGAACCACGGAGCTAAATCCCTGGCCCTGAAGGCACATTCCTTGATCTTGAAGTTGAGTGTTTGATGTGTTTTCCTTGAAAGGGTGGAGAGGCAACACTAACCCCACTCTTTTTGTTCTGCCCTCCTGAAGAGAAGAGAGACTCCCACCCTACCCACATCCAGTTTCCCTGACAGCTGCACTTGGTATGGGGTGACAAACACTGCCTCAGCCCCAGTAAGAGGCCCACAGCGCCCCTGCGGGAGCCCTGCAGGAAGACGACCACTGTAGTATATTACAGACAACAAAGGTGGTTGGGCAGAGTTGGAGTTTATTTACTGCAGTTCCTTGGCGCTAGTTTACAAGGCAAAAAACAAACAAAAACAATCCGAATAATAATTATAATTTTTTAAAAAACCCTGTCAACAAATTTCTTTATATTTTGTATTTTGACAAAAAGTTTTTAAAACAAATACAAAATAATCTAAAGGAGAAAAACTATACATGGATTATTTACACCTCTGATAAATAGACTAATACTGATCCAGGTGCCTCTGTCCAGGAAACATTAGTGAGAACCAGTGCAAGGGCCTGGGCCTGCTACAGTGCTCTGGCTGGCACTGCTCTGCTTCTGGGCCCCAGAGCTCAGGTTTCCAGCCCAGACCCGCTTCCACCACCTTCACAAGCTCCGGGTGAAGGCCTGAAGCCGCTCCAGGCAGGATCTACAGGAAGGGGTTAGAATGCTGCCCTCCTCCTGCCTCCACTCTTCTGCAAAGCTATTTCCAGAGATGCCCCTATCCTGTGGGGTCAGAGGAGCCGGCCCACTGGCCTGTGGAGACCAGGACCCTCCGCACGCCCCGACCCGGACACGTGGAGGGTATGCCGAGTTGCCAGCCACCACCTGCTCTGCCGGCCCTGCACGCTGGCCCTGGCCATGTGGCAGGAGCTGCCCTTGAGAGTCCCTGAGAGAACGGCAGGAGAACGCTGTGTTTTGCGGCTCCTTCACACCGCACAGGAGGGGCAGCCCACTCACAGGCACACGCAGGGGCAGGGGAGAGGAGGGAGAGCAACCCTTCCTCTCGGTCCACTGCCCCTGCAGAGCAGACCAGGCCCCGCCCCCCTGGAGGCCACTACACAGCGCACCAGGGGAGGCCCATTAGGGCCCGTTTTGAGGCAGAAAAAGCTGAAGCCCCATGGGAATCAGGTAAGATCTCCTTCCTCTAGAACGAGGAATGGAGTTTGGGGACGAGAAAGAAAAACCAGATAGGAACCAGTGAGATCACCCAGAACCTGTTGGGATAACCTCCTCACAGTTTTGGTTATTAGGTATTTAGCTCAAGGAAAATGCTGACTTTCTAGTTAAAGCCCAGCAGGACCTGGGTTCTGAGGGAGAAAGATGACAGAGGTGTCCAGCCAGTTCCCTCCCCTCCTCTCCTACAGCCCGCAGGCACTTGGGCGGGAGCTGCCCATGCCTCCGCCACAGAGGCCTCCCTGCTCGCTGCACAGTGCCAGCCCTCTCTCGCCCAGACGGGCTACTGGGCAGCACTCTTGAGCAGGCGTCAGCCTGGGAGTCCTTCTCCAGGGGGCCCCCAAACAGGCAGGGCAGCTGTGTTCTGTTTCTTTTTAGAAAACAAAAATAGATCTTTATAGCACGCGGCTTCTCTTCCTATCCACCTCTCCGCTTACTATATAATAATGCATACATAGAGTGTACACGGTGCAGGGAGGAAGGCTCTGCGCAGGAGTGACTGCGAGGTACACAGGGCTCTCCCAGCTCTGCTGCAGAGCTGCTGAGCGGAGGAGTGCACTGTCCTGTGTCAGGATCTCCCCTCAGCAGAGAGAAAGGCTGAGAGCCCGGGCTTGCGGGTGTCAGTCCCCTTTCCAGTGACAACTGCCCACCCTTTCTCCCCTTAAAAAAATGCAAAGCTGAAGCTAGTCTCTAGAACTCAGGCAGGGCTGGCCAGGACCCCTCTGCTCTGCAGTGCTCAGGAGTGGAGGGCAGGAGAAAGGCCGCGGCTCTGTAGGCTGGACGACCCCCTGGCAGTGTGCTCAGTGTCTCTTCGTGGAGGAGACCTTCTTTTTCCGTGCTGCGAGCATCTCATAGAAAGGGTCCCTGCTGATGGCCGCTCTGGAGCACAGAAAATGGGAGAAAACAAAAAAGTGAGGGACTGAAGTAGAAGCATCAGTCCTGTGTATGCCCCACTCAACTGTCCCCGCGATGGCTAAGTCAGTGTCCTCAGCACTTGCTGTGTCCACACAGCAGCTGTGCAGAGACACCAGACATGGGACAAGAAGGGGCTCCGCCCTGCTTGTCTCAGTCTCATACCTGCATTCGGAAGGGTAATCACGACATGTTCTCGTAACTTCTCTAATTCAGAGCTTACCAGCTACATGATGGCAGGCACTGCCAGAACCACCACATTCCTTGTAATTTAACTGAGAGCCTGCTCACCAGGGACAATGTTTCCACAGCTCTCAGGAAGCGTCAAGGATAGGTGGTGAAGGCCCCACCAACAATAAGGTTGGCACCCAAAGTGGCTTGCTGAGGGAATCTGCCACGCTTCCTGTGACAGCTGTCACCCAGGCAGTGTATCAGCCTGCCTATGCACGAGCTCATCTCATCCGCACAGCAGCCCAGGGAGTGGGCATCCCCTTCTGTTGGGAGACAGCAGGGACTCCACGTAGGGCGGCCTTCCTGCACACACATGCCCCTACCACTCCTGTCTCCACACAGAGTCTCAGATTCCTTATGTGAGAACAAAGCATCCACTCACCCACAGCCACCATCCCATCTCCATCTTCGTCACTCATCCAGTACCTAACCTTGGCAAAACACCATGCTGATTTGAACAGAAATACAAAAAAACAAACACTGGACTGAAGAGAAGGCACAGTCTGCTGAGAGAACCCCCAGGGCCTCCAGGCTCCTCGGCGGGCACATTCTCCCCACTTCCCAGGGAAGGCCACCAAGGCCCAGGCAGCAGTGGAGACTTCCTACGGGAAACACCTGGGCAAATTCTGAGGGCTGAAGTGCTGATGGAAGCCCAAGGATGCTCTCAAGGGAGAAATGACATCGGACAGTGTGTGAGCCAGGAGCCCAGGCTGGCCTCAGGAAATAGCGGGATGTCTGGACCAGGTCTCACACAGGAATACAAACAATGCAAAGCCAATGAGCTCTGGAAAGCTGAACTTCTAGACACAGGCCAGCCAGGACAGCTTTGTCCCCCTGCTAAACCTCACTCCAAGGAACCTGGTAGAGAACCAGAAGTCACAGCCCTGGACTTGCAGCTGCTCCTCAGCTTCCTCATAGCACAGTGGCTCACTGTGGGGCAGGGCTCTGTCCTGTGACCACACATCAGCGACTTTCTTAGCCTCAGCCGAACCTCTTGGTCTCTGTGTGTGAGATAGCGGGGTCTTGTGGGATGAACAGATTATGAAGCCGGACGGCCGTGAACATGAGGTGTGTGCCACCCAGCAGGGAAGCCTATCCAGCAGGCAGCACTGTGCCAGGCCCGCTCAGCGCCTGTGAGCACACAGGAAGTGCTGCGACAAGCTGGGCACACAGGCACATTACCTGCAACCCTAGCACTCTGGGAGCCGGAGACAGCGGGATCCAAGTTCAAGCACAGTCTGAGCAACTTAAAATTTAAAACCTTGTCTCAAGGGCTGGGGATTTCGCTCAGTGTTTCCACAGCCTGCCTTGCAAGCGCAAGGACCTGAGTTCGATCCCTGGTACCAAAAATAAATAAATTAATTAAAATAATAATAATAATACCCTGTCTCAAAAAAATTTTTTTTGAAAAGGCTGGAAATGTGGCTCAGTAAAAAGTACCTGGGTTCAATATCTAACACCGAAACAAACAAAACACCAAACACAAAACAATATCACAACAGCTAAGAACCTAGAGGGCTGCTTGCAATTAGTCTGGGATTTCCCCTAAGGGAGACACATGGGCAAATCCAACAGCTGGCATGGCAGGAAATGGAGAGGTGAGAGTCCTAGTCTGGGGAAGTCAGGCGTCACTTACTTAATACATTTAATCCACTCTTCCTTTTCTTCAGGTGTAGGAGCAGAAATCCGGTACACTGTGTGGTTTCCTTCTACCACCCGCCCATCGGCCTCAGTCTTACAGGCTTTGATTACTTGGTCTTTATTGTCAGGGATGTAGAGCTCAAAGCAGTTCTGTGATTAAAAAGAAGAGAGTGGGCAGGGGATTTAGCTCAGTGGTGCTGTGCCTGCCTCACAAGCACATGGTCCTGAGTTTGATCCCTGGTACCCAAAAATAAATAAATAAAAATTTAAAAAGAGAAAAAACACATAAAAAGAAGAGAGTAATGGACAGATCTTGGAAAGCTGCTGTCCAAGGAAATAGCAAATTCCCAGAAAACTCTATTTGACCATCATGCTTTTCTATGGAGGCCACATGTATGGAAAGGCCTCTGAGCAAAGACCAGCTAGTCTGCGGATGTTAGCTCCATGCCTAAGGGGGAGAAATAGTTACTCACTGCCTCCTAAACCCAACCTGGAAACATTCAGCATTCCAAGCAAAGGAACAGTGTTTACAAGGTGTGCCCCAAGGAAACAAAGCAGCGGTTCAGTCGTGAGCTTGCTGCTGCCCTTCAGGAAGGACCGATCTCTGTACCTCACGTAAGGGACACTGAAGCAGAGGGACAGCAAAAAGAGGTTATTAAGAGTCTCACCTTTGGCTTGAACCCTAAAGATAATTTAAAAAGTAAGGCCATACCAAGGCCATGATAGTATTTTCAAGTTGCTTTTCTTAAAAAGTCTTTGAAATTTCTTTTCTTTTTTCAAAGAACTGTTGTTCCCCCTCCCCAATATCTCAATTAGCAATAATGGTGCCTTGGATGAACCTCACGGGCTACCATACTGCTGCTGCGCGAAGCAGAAATACTCACTGGTTTTTTGGAATCCTCCACCTCCCGGATACTCAGGTTTTCTAGAGGAATAATTCCACGGGGCTCTTTATCCTGCGGAGCAGTGAAGACAGAAAGACCACTCAGGGACATACTCGCTGCTGTGTTCTTCCTGCAACACCCTCCCTCTCTGCTGCCCCTGTGCAGATGTGGCCATCAGCTTGAGGCCCACCCCAGGATCTACAGCGAGGACACAGCCAACAGTAACCTCGGCGTCGCACAGTACACTGGACCCAACATCCAGTCCTCTGCAGGCAGAAGGCTAGAGGTCCAACAGGTTCCACCACTGCACATCTGAGGTCCAGCCGGGAATGTGTAAGGCCCCTTCCCCTGCTTCTCACCGGGTTCCCCTCACCTCAGCTTTGGTTCTGGTGCCAGCAACTCTTGGAAGCCTTTCCCAGCCTCCAACTAGGAACTCCTGTCTCGCACCCACACTGGGACTGCAGCTGTGTCACACACTCTAACCCCTCCCTCACTGCCTCCTGCCCACCTGGATGTCCAGACCGAGGCTCTCAGAGAGCAGCACCTTCCTGACAGCCCTGCCTGGAATGGTGAAGGTACCTGTGCTCACATGCAGCATGGAGCCACACTCCAGCCTTCCCCTAGCTGATCTGCCTGCCAGGGATGCCCCCACCTCCGCCTTTGGCTAACCACACCAAGGCCTGTCACTTCGCAAGTTTCTGTATTGATCAGAGTAACACATGCACAAAAACCAACCAGATCATCTGCTTTTTACAAAAGTAAAAACTAGTATTTTAAGCCACTCCATATCCCCACACCAACTATTTTCCTCTAAATCTTAGGACACTGTCACCTCTGCACTGCCGCTCTGTGCATCTGGTTTTAGACGTCATTTGTAGATCACCTCCTCCCTGTCCTGTCCTCCCAGAACCCTTTGGCTAAAGCCACACAGGTTTCCCCAGTCCCTCTGTTCTTCAGACTGTGATGTGTAACAACACATCTCTTTCCTTTTCTTCCCTGAAAAACTCTCCCTCTGGAACCAAAAATCACCTTTTATGGCGGGCGGGGGGGTACCTTTTTCCATATAATCTCCCTCTCTAATCAAATTCCCTTTCGTGTGCTAAGTCATATCAATCACGATACTAATGTCAATTTCCTGGCAAAATCCCTCTGGCTGCTCAGCTGAAGGACCCCATCTCAAAGCTTGAAACTTGGACTAGGCATGTAACTCAGTGGTGCCATGCCTGCCCGGCAAGTGCGAGGTCCCGAGCTCGATCCCTGGTACCAAAACAACACCAACAAAAACCAAAAGCTGGAGATGTCCCTCTTTGCTCTCAGGACTCCTCACAGCCAAAGCGCTGCCCGTCTTACTGAGCACGCCAGCCTTGGCCAGGCACAGCTCACAGCATCCTCAGAGAGGCTTTGCAGACACCAAGCCAGACGTGCCGGGTTGGCAATGTTCTCCGGAGACTGACAGCTGGGAGGTGGCAGTCCAGGTGGAGACGACACCCTCCAGAATTCCGAGCGCAGTACTGAGGCCCTGAGTTCCCTACCCAGGTTTTCTGGCTGCCGCTGCTTTTCTCTAGATCTTCCATTCTCTGACACTCCATCAGGACATGGACTTGGTGTGGACCTATTTCTTCCATCACACAAGCTTTTGGTAAGCTCTTCAACCTGAAAACACATCTTGTATCTGGGGAAAGTTTATAAAATCATCTTGTCATAGATCACCTACCCATTGCTTCTTGCCTTTTCTAAAACATGTGAGGTATCCTAAATCAGCTTTTGGCTTTTTAAAAATAAATATAACTCTTCGTTCATTACTTTTCATCTTTTTAGCTCTTTCTGGGAGATTTTTTAGATGTTTTGCTTCTGGTGAGCTTTTATGCCGCACACTGCTGACTTCCAAGGGTCTATGGGGACTGTTGTGCTGCGGGCCTGCTCCTGGTTTCCAGCTGCGGGGGTCACCTCAGAGGCTGCAGGGGAGGTCCTCACAGTGCCCTGGATGGAGGCTTCCTTCCCCTAGAGTCCCTGTCCTCCAAGTTGCGCTTTCACTGCGTGATGGCTTTGGTATCCACTTGCTTTCAGGCCGAGGCCTCCCTCAGACATCTGGGACTCACCATTTGGGGAGGTCCTAGGAGCGTATGGACCTGTGACTGCTCTACAGGGCTCCTCTCACAAGGCTGTCTGTGGGGAAATCTGCTCCAGCTCTCTGCTCCTTCTTTACTGCTGAGTCCTCACCACCCCCAAGGCTGCCCAGCTACATGCCTGCTTGGCTGCATCTGAGAAGGGAGGGTGGGAAAGGCCAGGACGCCGGAGCTTATCCAACCCTGCTTTGCAATCTAGTACCCCCACCCACGACTGTCTAAGAGTCCTCAGTCTTGGCAACTGAGGTGTCACCCTCTCCTGAGAATGGGTGCCCAGACTATTGTGGCGGTGGGGGCAGGAGCTCAGGACATGAAATGAAGGACCCGGATGATCTGCCTCCTCAGCAGTGTCCAGGGAGCCACCCCAGCTCCAGCCTCCTCCCTTTCCAGGGTTATCTGGCACCCAACCCTCCTGAGGATTCTGCTGTGTTAAGTGGTACAGTCATTACCAGGTGGGCAGGAGGGTAGGGTAACAGTCATCATAATGTGGACCGTAATGAGGATGTGACTTCATTCACACTCTTAATGACTGTTGAGGCAGAGACATCAGGGTTATATCCGCATGACACATATTTGGACCCAAGACAACTTTACACCCAAAGGATTTACACCCATCGCCTTCTGTCCAGAAGTGGGGACCACTTGGGTAGCCCCTGCCCTGTTACCTTTCCTGGCACACTGTGCTCCTCACACTAGTCCTACCATCCAAGAAAGGTTGGAGACAGCCAGCTACTCAGAAGCACAGCCATCCATCCTGCAGGGACTGGGTGGGCAGACTGAGAACTACTGAGCCAAACAACTTTTAAGTTCCTGGCAACTGCAGAAAATCCCAGATATCACCACAGCTCCCCGACCCGGATCCCCACCCTGGAACTTAACTGGGTCCCAGGGGCTGGATCAGCAGAGATGGAGTGCACTGAGTGTGCACTCGCCCTGGGTGCCACTGCCAGCATCAACTCCGAGTGATATAACTGGGCTGCCGGGGCTGGGGCAGCCCCACTGCCTGCTCACAGATGCACTCCCGCCCAGCAACACCCACTCCCCGGGGGGCAGAGCCAGCCAACACCAACACCTCTGGCTTACTGACTTCCCTTAAGAGCAACTACTATTTTTGTAGAAATAATATTTGTTCATCTTAAAGAACTTAAAATGCTACAGAAAAGGACAAAGGTGAAAGTGTTTTAAAACACTCCAAATTCGATCACTAATAAATTATCACTGCTGGCAGGAGGCAATTTTATGTGTGTATACAGAGAGGAAGAGGAATAGTAGGTTCAGGAAAATGGGCTGTTCCCAATGTCAACATGGACACTCTACTTCAGTTACACAGAACTTGAGAAAAAAATGAAGCGAACTGAAAAATATTGAACATCAGAGTAAATTTTCTTTACCATAAGAGATAATTCCTAAAATAATCACATTCAAGTTAAAGAGAAAAACAGCTTATGAAAAACCTTAAGAGGTTTTTTTTTTGTTTGTTTTTTTTTAAGGACAGAGTCTCTCTATGTACTCCAGGCTTGCCTCAAATTTGCAGCGATACTCCTGCCTCAGCCTCCCAACTGCTGGGATCACCTGAGTGCGCCACCACGCTCACTTTAACAGTTCTTGACTCCTTGTTTTGAAAGATAAGTAATATTTTCAAAATTCTTCATACTTTTCTTTTTGTTCCTGACTTTTGTTGCCTATTTCCTTTTTACACTGCCTGAGTGTGTGGCCTGCAGCCAGTCCCCAGTCATTCAGCTCCACACTGAGACAAACCCACTCCACATCTCAGTATAGTTCAGTATTAGTTCTACATTTCAGTGTATATTAGCATCAGTTCGATATCTAAGAATGTTTTTGCATTTGAGTATATTTAAGTATCAGTTTTTTAAGCATACATATTAGCTCTATATTTAAGCGTATTAAGGTTCTATTTTCAGTATGTTTTAGCACCAGTCCCGTATTTCAGTATACTCTGGCACTACTTCTGTACCTCAGTATATTTTAGCGCTCCTCTATGTTAAGTGTGTTTCAGAATTAGTTCTGGAGGCAGGTAGGCAGGCTGGGGCGAGGCTGTAGGGTCAGCCACAAATCGGGCAGGCAGGTAGGCAAGTGAGAGGCCAAGTTCTCCAGCAGGTGTGGGTGGCTTGAGTCCTCCATGTCACGCTCCCGTGGCCTCCCAAGTCCAGATGGGGGAGTGAGGAGATGCCAACCCAGAGGGACAACAGCACCACGCCCATGGCAGCGGCAACGGGCACCATTCTCACCAGGTCCCAGTGAAGCCTAATCCCACATTCAAAAGTGGAACCACACAAACGGCCACAGCAGATGGGCACGTGAGCAGTCTGGCTGATCCACACAGCGGCAGGCGAGGGCTCTGCCACTGAGAAGCAGCAGCACACACGAAGGCCGGCAGGGGGAACTGATGCGATAAACTCTGCATGAAACGAAAAACTGCAGGCTCAGTGGTTACAGATTTCTCCATCTAGAAGACTCAAGCTATTATCTGGGACACGAAGTACCCGGGCCGCTTGGGATGGGAGGACAGGAAGTGCACAAGTGGCTACTGTGAAGTGTGTACACGCTCACCATCACCATGGGGCAGCGGTCTCTAAGGTGGATAGCGACCATCACCATGCAGCCCCACAGGCTGTCTGTCCTCGATCCCTGTCACAATACTCGGTGTTACACTCTGGTAGTAAGTTCATTAGCTAAGAATGAATAATCAATCATGTGTATGCATCTAAAAGCTGCAACTTGCTAGGGATCCACCACCACCACTCCAGAGGTTACAATTTGAAACCAACATGTCTATCTCCTATGGAAAATTATTGCAGAAATTCCTGGGATGTCTCAATACTCCATATTCAAATGAAAACGATGATATAATCAATCCAACATCCTGAAATCTCACAGCTCTCTAAGTGTAAATGCCCTCACCCTTCATCTACAGAGAAAATGGTT